GTTTTTTTCAAATCCTTTTGTTTGTGCCCATAATTTGTTAATTCTTAATTGAACAATCGTAATTTTAATGAAATAAATTTTGTTTGAAAAAAAAAAAATTATATCTATTTTAATTGAAATAAATTTTGATTGAAAAAAAAAAAGTCTTATATCTATTGTAAGGGATGATTTTCAGTAAGGATTTAGTAAATGCAATAATGCAAAGATTGCATATTTGAAATTGGTTGAAGTTAAAAGTTTTTAAACAAAATGAGTCAGTTGGTGAACTACGCTATTTAAGGCTCGAGTTTGAGCTCAACTCGTTCGATAAACGTATTGAGCTTCAATTCATTAAGTTAAAGCTCATCATTTAGTATCCAAGAGCGCTTGGATGAAATGACTTGGGTCTCTTCTAGCTTAACTAGTGGTCTCGTGTTCGAGCCCTGAGAATGCATCAATGTTAAAACTCTTGAGGGAGAGCTTTGCCGACCTTGTGGTCCTACCCGACTCGATTTCAGATTAGTCGGTTTCCCTGTAGATTTGGAAACCGGAAGGTCCCTGTACCAAAAAAAAAGCTCATCATTTAGTGAGTGGAAAAACATGTATTTGTACGTAGGTTTCTATAGCTCGACTCGTTAAGGTTCAAGTACAGTTCATTAATTATAAATAGTCGAACATAGATTTGTTTATTAGATTGTTTAGTTTCAAGTCGCTCGGCTCGATAAAAATTTGAGTCTGAACGCCAACTTGGCTCGACTCAGTTACAACTTACAACTAGGAGTAATCCAATTTTAGTTAAAAATAAAAAATAAAAATAATTCTAATGGAATAATGTTACAAAAATATCAATAGATTCCTCCTGTCTTTTATACTGGACCCTCACATGCACTGTCTCATACAGCCATACTTAAAAAATAATCAATATGTAAATTCTAAAAGAAAAATATATTGAACTTTTTTTTTGGTACATGGATCTTTCGATTTTCGGATCTACAGGAAAACCGACTAATCCAAAATCGAGTCGGGTAGGACCACAAGGGCGGCAAAGCTCTCCCTCAAGAGTTTTTAACACTGCTGCATTCCCAGGGCTCGAACACGAAACCACTGGTTAAGCTGGAAGAGACTCAAACCATCTCATCCAAGCGCTCTTGAATATATAATGAACTTTATTCAACCTATTAAACAAATAATGAAATTAAAAAACTAGATTCCTTATAAAAGGGCATTAGCACCGTTGGATCCCCAAAATTTGGAGGTGGTTTGTGTTGAAGCCTGTCGCTCTCAACTTTTTTTAAATGGTAATAATAAAGGACACCAAAATATATAGGCGAGAGTCTATGGTCCCGTTACGGAACCATTCCGTCGGGGTTGTATCCGTTAGATTCTCTACTGTGCTGTAATTAGGCTATGGTGCGTGCATTAATATATACACTAGTATTACTATTATTGTACGTGCAAAAGCGTGTTTTGCTTGATACTTTGATAGTAATTAACTAATTTGCGGCATAGGATCTTTATGTTGCTTGATACTAAATTAATTGTACATTACTTTCATAAGAACTTGTCCTAGCTTGCGGTCCCATTACGAAATCATTTTGTCGCGGTTTGTAACTGTTAGATCAACTATATATCCACGACAATTACAAATCTCGACAGAATGATTCCGTAACGGGACTGTAGCATTGCCCTGTAATATATTTTGTTCTTATTGTAAGAATTTATAATCACATAATATAAATTTAATATAATTATCGTAGAACATACTTTAATTTTGGGAAAATCAATATCGCGTTAGATTTGAAAGATTATTAAAAATACTTGATTCCATTGAGTTTCCTACGCAAAATTCAAACTTGATCTATTGATTAGATCAATAGGTATTGTGGTCTTTCTCAACATAATCGTCTTATTCCTCCTGATGGGACCGTCATTTTCAATTCTGATTGGGAGAAAAAAAAAGTATGTGTTTGGTTTTGTCGTTTTCAATTCCGATTGGAAGAAAAAAAAAAATTGTATCTGGTTTTGTGGTTTTGTGTGTGGGGAATCATAACCAATAGGGTTTTTATATATAAAAATTAAACTATATTTATTGTCACACATATTTTTATATGTTATTTATTGGGTGCCCTAGGGTCAACGAATTGGACATCTTGTTGGGAATACTAGGGTTGTTCATTCGATTAAAACCGAACTGAACCTACCGAATTTTTTATTAACCGAAAATTCGGTTTGACCAATATCATAACCGAAAACTGAACCAAAATTTACGGTTCGGTTTGGTTTTTAACCGAAAATCCAACAGTCGGTTCAGTTAGATTTTTGGTTAATCGCAATAAATAATTAATATTATTAATAAATTTCGAATTTTTAACCGAATAAAAAATTTGATGTTTTATCGCAACAAAAAAACATTATCACCTTGTTTAACCTTCTCAATAAATTCTTAACTCTCCTCAAAAGAAGATTTCAGACCCGAACCGTTTCTTGGACTATGACGAAGCAATTTTGAGTGTAAATCAATGCTTGAGCAATTTTAGGAGTCAATGAAGCTGAAAATCATCAATCATTGAAGCAAATGAATACTTTTATAACTTATATGTATAAATTGAAAACATGTATATATTTATATAAACGGTTTTCGGTTCGGTTCGGTTAACCGATGCTTTATTAGTTCCCTAGGTAGATTAGGAACCGAACCAAACAATCGGTTTCGGTCCAAACCGAATTTTCGATTTCGATTTCGACTCGGTTAACCGAACTTTGTGCACCTCTAGGGAATACTATTCCATGCAAGAGGGGCGCATTTTCGTAATTCTCAATTTCTTTGAAATGTACCGTTTTCTAGATATCACTTTGAATAGACTTATTTTATTATATTTATTATTCGATTGTCATTATATAATTATGATATTAGGATTATTATTATCATCATTATTATTTAAACACTTCCCAAGATTGATATCACTTTGAACATATATATTCTTTCATTAGTCAAATAATAATGCCACGGGATAAGTTAATTAAGGGTTAGTGCACACACACAAATAGTTAGTGCCAAAGCCCAAGTGAGGTTTGATTTGGTGGGGCCACGGCAAGATCTTTTTATTGTAAAAAAAATAAATAAAAATAAAATAAAATAAAAATTGGTATATCATGTGCTACACAAAATTCAAGTATTTTGATGCTAATATGCACGAATTTTCTCTAATCCAAGTGTATCACATTCATCCACTTTATTTATTTATTTTCTCCACTCACATTTTTCTTTATAAAACATATTATTTATTCGGTCACACGTTCCTATGATCATCAACCATTATTTTGCTATTTATTTTTCACTTTACAATTAATTATTATTTATTAGAAAAAATAAGTGAATTGAATGGAGTGGAGTTGAATATATATCCAATTTCATTAATATTCTTCTAAGTTTCGGAAGATGCTACAGTCACGTCACGGAACTACTCCGTCGGGAATTGTAACCGTTATATCAATTATCTCTGACAGTTACATGATGATCTATCGGTTACAACTCCAACGGAATAGTTCCGTAACGGGACCTTAGCATTTCCCCTAAGTTTCATGTTAGGGACATCATTTGGATATTTATCAGATGAAGTTCTTATGTCTATGATACAATATTCAATTATATACATAAAGTTTTGATTTTGATTAGTTTAGGCTTATAGAATCGCTTAACATTGAACTTGTCATTAGTGTTCTTATTATGAGTGTAAGATCATTTCTTCAACAGAGATTTGAATATTTCCCAGAATTGTCTCGTCATTAGAAGTTATATAACTATTGGGTCAATAATGGGCCATGACCAGAGCTGAATCAAAAGTTAAATTGCTACAAACCATGTCCATAATAGGTTTGAAAGTGGGCTGATAAAAGTAGGCCCATTATTTATTAGTCAATCCAAGTTGGGCGTTACTATTTACCGCCCCCCTTATTACTAGTCACCGCCCCCCTTGGACGATT